CGTAAGACGAGGCGACTAGGATGGAGACCACGACCCAGAGAGCCTCGCTTCTGAGAGATACGTGGTAAGAAATTTGAATTTCAATACAAGCGCACATCGGTGTTCCTATGAATTGTAGTGGTACGAACTTAGCTCGCTTGTGTATGCAGGCATCACAGTTGATAAGTCAGTCCAACGAAGCAGCCATGCGACTTCACGAAACCAAAGGGGAGCCACACGGCATTCTACACATCTTCGTCGATGTATATTCTATTCTCAAAGCCATGACAGTGGTTAAATGGTTCCCATGACTCATTCATCCATGTTTTTTTTGTAGAAGGTGAGGAGGAGCTGCAAGAAGCTAGCACAGAAGCTTAGTTGCGTGGATACTCCATGGGAGATGCCCTATGACCCGGACCTGTCTAGTTCCTTACGCTCGAGCACTATGCTGACACGAGCAAGTTCCTCTGACACGACTGGTGGGACCTCTTATGTTCATACTCCTGGCAATGTAGGCAAGGGTCCTGCGGAGCACGACGTTGAGAAGGACGAGGACGAGGAGGAGGACTACGATGAGATTAGGATGTCTTAGCTTGGTAATGCACCATTTCCTACATGGTTCGACGAATAGGTACTTGAAACAACCATTCGCCATATACGTCATAATTACTTGAACATTGTAAGTAACAATGCCTATATTGTAATTGCAGGGTCCTAGTTACACTCAGCAGTACTACCGGGTGTACCGCCAGTGAGACCGTACCGACATTGGGTTCACCCCTAACGTGCTGCCTTCACATCTGAAGAGGCAGCGACGTCGGTGGTACCCATATACTCCTAGGTCGTAGGAGTTCTTTAGGATGGCATGTCGAGTAATGTCAAACTTATGTATTGATGAACTTGTGTTGTAGTTATGACTTGCTGAACTTATGCAGAACAGAGGTATTGTCGAACTTGCGATGAACTTGGGACGTGTATAAGTTAGTATTGCTGAACTTGTGTATTGATTGTCTCGTGCACTTAACCTTCCTGCTGACCTATTCGTTAAACTGACATGACGAAATAACTTGGCTGTGATAACATAACATAAGTGCCTTGTTTCATTTGCTGCCGCTTTGACCGCCGCACCATGTCTAGGGGCACCAAACTAAAAGGAATATGCGTGCCATGTCTCGTGGTAAAGTTTTATGAGATAACACAATGTCCGTTATAAAAATTAAACAGTGTTTGTTACATGGGTACAATACATAAATAGTTCAAATGAAACACAATGCAGCACCAAGAAAGTTCTACTATAATACAAATACCAAATCTAAAACATTAAACTAGCACACATGTACCAATCGTCAGTCTGAAACATACTGAGTAAGCAACTCGTCATCCTAGTATCAGTCCTCTACCACAACCTCGTTGTTGTGGCTAGGCTCACCTACATTGTCGATGTCGCTTTGTGTAGTAAGTGCCTCCGCTTCACCTGCGGCCTCTGCTGCCTGAGTCATGAACGCATCCTCCTCCGCCTAGCTCATGTGGCTAGGCTCACTTGCATTGCCTTGATCTATTTGTCGCCTGTACTAAGCGGCCTCCGCTTCATCTGCGGTCTCTGCGGCCTGAGTGAAGAACACGTCGTCATCCTCTTCCGCCTACAAGCCCGCCTCTGCTAGAGCGATGAGCTCGCCAGTCTGCCAGTGTTGTCTTCAGCCTCCTCCGCCTGCAAGCCCACCTCAGGAAGAGCGATGAGATCGCTCAACTGGGTAGTGTTGTCCTCATCCTTGTCCCCATCATCGGCCAACACAATCGGAGATTAGACGGTGTGACCAGCTCACGTTCTGTACTCATCTAACTTCTTTTCCTCATACCTTGCATGGGCCACCTCTGCGGCATGGTCCTCGCTGCATCCAATCCTTTCATGTATAAAATGCAACCAGTTAGCAACGCGATTATATTACATTTAAAATCAGGCAACGGAAATAAAAAGGCTTTCAAGCACTCACTGGCACACAATGCAACAACATGGTCATTCAAGACCTGCATCTATACTCTTGTCTCCTCCCTTGCCTCCTTCCTTGCCCTCTCCTCCTCTAACGCCCTCCGTCTCTCCAATCCCTATTTGTCAAGCCCAACATCGATCGGGTTACGAATACCGCGATGTCTAGGAAACTCACGCATCTTGTTTTTGTGATATTTAACGAATAGGTTGATGTAGTCAGGTCCATATCTCCTCTTCCATGCAATTACTTGCCTCCCCTTCAGTTCATCCAAGAACTTAGCTTGACCATCATAACATTCCCACTTGCATTTCCTAGTGCTCTGTTCAAACGAAAAATTATATCATATATGTCTTAGCAAAAGAAACAAAATACGATTTTATGTTTACCATAAAAATAACCAATCTCATCATAGTCAACCATATGGCCGTAATAATGGCCTATTCCAAGCTCCCGAATGGACTAGACCGTAGTTGGATTTAACACCACATTCGCACTTGACTGGAGGTGCTTTGTAAATTAACCTTTCTTTCTTCTTTTCCTTTGCCTTTGGTGGCTCCGGCCATTGATTCTTAGGACCGTAGAGCCACTCATTGAAATGACACTTCGCAAATCCATAACGCTACAAGAATACATTAGTACACGCACACATATAGAGATAAATATTTAAACAGATACACTTTCCACTTACTTCGTGTTTGTTCGGACACATAAACTCCAACATATTCTCAGGGTTATCACAGCTCGATCTCCGCATTCGCACAGAGGAGGTTCCTCGAGTTAAATCTAAGCGTGGCTAGGTGCTTCTCCTTAGCCGTCATTGGCGGGGGTTAGGGGTGGAACCATCACTGGAAGTGCTCATGTGGATGTCTCCCTCTACATCAATCGTCGAAAAGGAGGTACTTAGGGTCAAACTTGTCTGCAATGTCGATCCACTAAAAGAAAAAGCACCTCTCATGGGCCTACACAACAAGATTCCAACAAAATATTAGTAGCCTACTTACACAAATGAAGAAAAAAGATAGTGGAAACAATTACTTACATTAAAACGACTGCTTGTGTAGAAGCAACGCACCGCTGTGTCTGGATGTCTCGATTGAAACACGTCGGCAGGGAAACCACAGTCACAGTTAGGGACATGGAGGTCAGGAGGGACGGGGGCATCTTTGCTAGACGCGTCGGGGTATAATTCTCGAGGACGACCCCATTTTCGCCAAAACTCCTCCCGATACATTTCTTGCATCTAATAAAACGGTTGTAATTTAACAAATAAAAATCAAAACATCACAAATTAATGTCAATGAGAACCATTTGCATTACAACAAATAAAATATAACCTACACTTTGATGCAAACTCTATCTTAGATGCAAACATGAAAACTATATAAAAACTATACTTTGGTCAGTAAAAAATAAAATTTGGTACATCAACAGTGTGTCCATATATTCATTCACATATAAAACTTGAGATGTAAACTCAAACAAGCAAAATTCTTATAAAAATTGACCTTAGAATACATGGTAATCATAATTCTAACTAACCAATTAACTTTAACATTGGCAATCCTAATCCTTCAATCCAACGTTCTAACGAACTCATATTTTTCTTCATACCCTAACTACTCATTCAAATCCTTTGATCCACCGTTGAGGCCGAGGAGGAGCTTCATTACCTTAACAAGGTCGAGGAGGAGCTTCGGGGAAGGTAGGAAGGGGGTGGCAAGGGAGGGTGCGACCAGTGGCTGCCGGCGGCGGGCGCTTGAAAGGGAAAGAAAAGAATGGAGAGAGAGAGCTGCGTCGCGGGCCTTTACTGGGGGCCTGCCACACCGTGCGCGATGGCGCGTCGGTGCCACGCCATGATCTGTGGCGCGGCAGAGCTGGGCCACGTCACCGGTCGCTGCCACGGTGGCAGCCTGGCCGCGCCGCCATGCATGGCGCGGTAGAGTGGTTTGACCGTGTCATGTCAGTTGGCGCGTCCAAAAGTGTTAGTTTTGAAAAAAAAAACAGTGTCAATTTTAAAAATAGTTTTAAAAAGGTGTTAAAAATAAATAAAAAAAATCACCATCCAAGGGTGATAACACAGGGTGAATAATGAACTTTTGAGTAGCAGTAATTTTTCAAAATCCTTCGCTCTTCTAGTATAGAATAGATAAGATTCTAGACCGGACCGTAGAACGAGTTGATAGGCACACATAAACACAAAGTACCTTTACAAGTAACATGCTAATTACTGTCATGCGTAATCCATCGCAATCGAGTATACCTTGTCATAATTATATCCTCTTCGTGTCCATCTGGGATCAAATTACCCGGAGGATTATTAATTAGCATGTCATGATTATTCTCTAGGTCTGTATTCTAGGCCTGTATGCTGTAAATGTTGTCCTGCTGATAGCATGATAGATACATGGCTTGCAACGAACTACGATATCTTCAGTCTTGCACGACGATGAACTACGATTTCTTTAGTCTTGCACGACAATGGCCAGAGCGGTGTGGGACATCGTTGGTACAACGACGCATGCATGACGATGACTTATTCTGGTTCGACATGGTGTAAATGTTGTCCTACTGATGGCATGGTAGCTTCATAGCTTGCAGCGAATTACGACGTCTAGTTTTACATCGTAATGACTAGAGCGGTGTGGGACATCGTTGCATCCGTTGGTAATAACGGCGTGAGCAAGATGGCTTATCACCTTGACAACGGCGATAGTGGTACAGCATGATAAACGACTAGGGGCGGTTGGTCCTTATGGTGTGGCCGTGGTTGTACACAAGTTTTTGAGAGAAATGGTATAGAACTATGAAGAGATGATGTTGTTTGGCATGTGTTGAGGCCTCAATCCATTCGGCCACCATGGTTAGTTGCTTATTGCTGCTGCCGCTGCTTGACCCTTTTAAGGTTATTGTTGCTCGGTTGTAGACTCAGCCCGGGTAACTTCTTCTTTTAATATAATCAGCAGTTCTCTTGTCTGATTGTTTTTTGATAGAAGATTCCAATCTCTTTTTTTAACGAAGATGGTTTGAATCCTATCATGTCAGACGACCACTCAGTATAGCAGATGCTTGTGTCACGGCCCTGGCCACTCTGTAGACCTCATGCTGTACAAACTTCCACGACTCCGAAGTGTTGCTGCTCCGAGCGCTGGCTATTGCATTGGCTATACCGGGATAGATTGCAGTATCCCAGTCATTCTGATCTGAAGGTCCATACACCTATGGATGGGAACACTTACTGTTAGTATAACTATAAGCCGTGTGTACGAGCCTTATGCAATTTCCAGAGTGGAAGGTGAGTGCTTTGCTCATGAGTATCTGCTCACCAGATGCTTAAACCATTCTAGCTTGAAGATGCCTTCCCTGCTAGTGAATGCTCGCTCGGTCTGCATAAGCCGGTCATTGAGCTGTCGGATTTTCAGTGAATCCTTGTTCAGCTGCTTGCTCAAGAGTTGCTTTTGAAGTTCCTGAAAGTGCCCATGTCTCTTAGTCATCACAGTGCACAAAACGCAGTATGGTAGACTGTAAGTTCTGCATAACTCGAGCAGCAATTCTCAAGTGAAAGTACCTTTTGTTCGCTATTCACTTTGGTAGCTGCCGCTCTGAGAGTTCTGATTGAGTTGTACAGTGGGGAACAAGTGACAGTTGTTCCCTTCACTTCCTTCTCTACCGTCTTTGTGTATTCCTGCCGCCGGAAGAAATTTAGGGCTTCGTCATGTTTCCATAGTAACAAGGATATCTATGTTAATTTTCCTTTGTCCCCTGTGTACGAGTGGCTCTACTGGCCTACAGAAGGTCAGAAGCAGCATTTAGTGAACACTGGAGTCGTCTTACCTCAAGCTCAATTGCATAGGACATGTAATTGAAGGGTAGGATGTCTTCATTTGCCAACCTCAAAGCCATCATTCCCCATATGCTAGCAGCTGCAAGATGAAGAATCTTGGTTACCATGTCGTGGTGGCGCAGATAACACCTCAACTAATATTTTGCACAAAAACAGTATCATTGAGCAGACCGCCACATGCCTACGGAACCCAGGATCTCCGAATTTCGCCATCCATACGTAGCCATCATATAAGGAGTGGTAAACCGGATATCCTGGTCCTACAAAAAGCAAAAGTGCCCAGGAAAGTTCATTGAAAAATACAAAAGTCACTGGGCAGGCAAATAGCAAAGAGCAGCGGCATTACCTTCACCAAAAATTATATTCATCGAAGGAATACCAACATGTTGGACGAATGCTGAATAGTCTGATCCTCCATCACCTAGTCTTAGAACCTTAATGCAGGAGATACGCAGTGAATAGTGAGTAATGTAATATAATTTGTCAGGAAGTAGAAGTGGTTTCCCGTCCTGAAACCACATAATTCTTGAGGGATGGAACTGAAACTCAAAGGAACTTGTAGCTCGATAACAATGCAATCACTATATAATAGTGACAACTAACTGGGTCCTCAGCACTACATAGAGGGTAGGCTGTTGGATAAGCAAGCTGCAACAACTCACCCGGGGAGGAATGCTTGATTTAATCCATGAATCATGCAGTCTGAGATGAATTATCAGGATCTTGAACCTTCACAAATTGACAAAGAGCAGTTAAAATTTTGGGCATCTTAACAAGGAAAACACTATATTCACATTGTTGACTACTAACATGGAGACCAAAAGCAAACAAATTTAACTATAGTATCATGTTTTCCCTCTTCCTGGGTATGCTATTATCACTAGTTTCAGCCTTTCAGGTAGGATGGACATACCACTTTAGTTACTTGCTGAAGTAACTCGTCGAGTTGGGGAGTTGTAGAAGGCAGGAATCCTGGACCAACGACTGAAACATCAATATTCAGATAAGCAACAGCTCTAGAATATAACATCTCCTGGTTTTCTTCAACCCATTCAGTAGATCCTGTCTGAGTAAATTAAATGCAAATATGATCAATCTTGCTGTTTTAAAGACGGACAAGAGTGGTTCAGATATAGAAACACACCAGTCCATATTCTTCCGCATCCCAACTACAGAAGATAATGGTTCTTCGAGGTCTCCACCCGTGCTTTTGCAGCATTGAAAACCTTTGAGCTAACTAGATGGACAAAGAGTGAAATAACATGTTACGAGCCAGATAAGTAGCAGATCGTGTATCATGTACAGTACAATATTGAGGTCAGGCATAGAAACATGAAATGGAACCAAGGTTCAGTCACTTCAGCAAACTATTCAGAGGACATGGCCTTTTAAAAAAAACGTACATGGGAGTTCTGCCTTTTAATTAAGAGGAAGCAGTTTTATGTACAAGACACGGTCAGAAGACCAGGGCCACAGATTTCCTCAAAAACAGAAGGGGAGGGGTTAAAGCCCTAGCAACAAGCGAAGACCAAGGCAAGGCACCTAGCGCTAGGTATTAAACGAGGACATGGCTAGTACCTGCTCTAAACTACTGTAATCAGTATTCTGGCGTAGTAGATCAACAAAAACAAAGCGTAGTAGCGTACTAAAGTATACAGAAGACATTTTGTAACTGACGACTACCTCAATCATAGCTGCTGTTCCACTGTTGGGATCGGATGCACCAAACGTCCAAGCATCACGATGGTTACCAAGAATGACATATCTGGATCACAGAATGTTAAAAATTCTCAGTTCAGTCACATATTTGGCAGAAAAAAATATAATATTCAATGTGGTTAAATTGTGCCAACGCCTATATGCAGATAAGCAGATTGATACTCTTCAATATTTGTTTAAACTGTGAGTACCTCAGAGGCTAGGACTGAGTCTAATTGTTTGTTTTTGTTCATTAAGAAAAAGTTTGCTTTCGAGGAAATCCTTTTACAGTCATGAGAGGCTGAGAGATACTACAAGAGCTACCCATCTAAAATGAGCCTTCAGTGAAAGAGTTTCCAATAAATTAAAAGAACAAAAGAGCTTGACCTTATGCATCTGGTTCTTAATCGTGCTTAGCTATTTTTTTTCTCTTGAAGGAAAGATTTTCATAGCTACTGTACATTACAAGGAAGGCCAACAAATGGCCATCCCAAGCCAACCTGAACATGTATGAAAAGTCGGAGTGGTTGAATTACATAGTAGATGTCTTTTCCAAAATAATGATGTACCTGCAGAACTTTCCGATCTGCAAGTGGGCCCTATCCTCTATAGGATATGCTAACAGGTTTAAAAGATTAAGGAGTATACATGATTATAGAATTTTGTAGTACCACGCGTCCACGCCGTGCACACCTTGATAGGACATCTTTTTTTCTTCTATATACAATAAACTACTTATTAGATCTCTTAAATCATTATCTAATAGGAAGGAAATTTCGTGGACACCGGGTCATATAATTTCTTTTTTCTTGGCAAGCGAAAAGAGTTATCAGATACTTCCATTTTTTTTATCTTTGTATAACAACGAGTTAAATGCATGAGCAGTCCGCAAACTTGTCAAGGATGCCACTTAGTAGGTTCATAAACTTTGAAAATACATTTCTAGTCTCTAAATTTGTTAAGTTATGCACCGCAGTGGTCGCTATGGTCCATAGACTTACCATGTACCATTTTACAAGTTCATTAGGATGTGTGGTACATCACTTTTACAGACTCAGAAATACATTTTCAAAGTTCGTAGATCTAAATGATACCTCTTTATAAGTTTAGAGGCCGCTCTTTAACCTTCTATAATCTATATATAAGGTCAACGACAGCACAACAAAAGTAGTGCTCTCAACTGCCCAGGTGGGCTGCGTGAACTTCACAGGTTTGACAAAACAGAAAGATGCAACGTCACCTTCCACCAAGAATTTGTTACCTAATAATAACAAGATAAAAAAAGGAATTAGTTACCTATCGGGCTCTTCGGCGCCTTCGATAATGGTAAAGACATTCTCAATCGTTGCCATCGTATCATTCCCCTGCAAAATCCAAAACAATAGCGTCAAGCCCCAAGGCAATGAACCGAAAAGACGAAAGGTGCCTCGAATCGAATTGTACATACAAGATACGTTAGGTTCAAAACTGCCGGCCCGGGGCCGAGGCGGTACACGGGGCCGCCCTCTCGGCCCTGCCAGTCCGCCGGCGCCACGGCCCCGCCCACGGCTCTGTGTATCTCCATCGCGTCCTGAGCCGACACCGGCAGCGCCGGGATGAGCGGCATGTCATCGGTGTTCATGGCCTCCTCCACGCTGACGCGCTCGCAGCCCTCGGACGACGCCCACATCGGCGTCGTCGGGTCGCCCACGCCCCGGAACAGGCTCCCCACCTGCACGCCGCTGGGCGGCAGCCAGCGCGAGTCGGGGAACCACCGCTCACCGGGTGCGCCGCCGTACTCCAGCGGATCAGTGTACACCACCGCGGCCGCGGCGCCGGCGGCGCGCGCGTTGTGCGCGATGTCCTCGCAGTGGATCCTCCCGTACCGCGCGAGCGTGACCTTACCCGCGACGTCCACACCGCGGGAGGCGAGGTAGGCGAAGTCCTCCTCGCGGCCGTAGTTGGCGTACACGGCCTCCGCCGAGACCGACCCGGAGGCCGCGTACGCGTAGAACGTCGGGATGGTCTCCGCCGCTGCGGTTGCGTAGGGGTCGTTGGGGTAGGTCTCCTGCTTTAGGGAGAAGGAGGTGACGACGCCGCGGCCTGGCGCCGAAAGGGAGAGGGAGCGGTGGACGGGGTAGGAGAGGAGGACGGAGTAAGGCGTGATGTGGGCGGGGAAGGAGAGCGCGTCGAGCACGTAGCGGGCGGTGAGGGCGTTGGCCTTGGTCCCCGCGACGTGCGGGTGGAGAGTGAGCGCTCGTAGGTGCGAGGCGGCGGTGTCGTTGGATCCGAGGGAGAGGAAGAGCGCCTCGTAGTTCGGGACCGGGTTGGGCGCGGGCTGGAGCGCGAAGAAGAGGAGCACCGCGAGGGAGGCGCCGAGGACGGCGAGCATGGGCGAGAGGAGGCAGAGGAAACGGCCGCGCGGGTGGGGTTTTGCCAGCGGCGGCGAGGGGGCGAGGAGCGAGGCCGTGTCGGGGCGGGACATGGCGCCGGAGCTGGTGGGTGGTGTGCTCTGCTGTGGCGAGCGGCGGGTGCTCAGGTAGCGGGGTTTAAGACCGACTCCAAAGAAGAGCACCAAAAGCGAGACGCATGGCCGGTTTTACCTCGCGCACAGTGAAAGGGTCAGTAACCCGTAAACTTCCTTCTTCAACCGTCGGGTGCAACAGAGCATCCTCTTTCTCTCGCGAGCGCCGCCGCCTCTTCCCTTCCTCCTCTCGCAGGCCTGAGCGGGCGCGATGGAGCCAGAGGCAAGAGATTACGTCTCCTCCTCCCACGGTCGTCTTCTCCAGGCCGCCGCGGCGAGCTCCCTCCCTTCCTCCTCTCTCGGCGAGCTCCGTCCCGACGACGGTCGTCCCCGAGCTCCGCCCCGGCTCCGGTCGTTCCCGAGCTCGTGGTGGTGGGACCTGCCTGCGTGGAGGAGATGCAAAGGGAACGAGAGAGGACGCAAGTTTGCGTACCGTGTTTCGTCGGACGCAAAATGGCTGCTGTGTCTGGGAACTCCGTTGGAGGATGATTTTTCCCCGCAAAAGCACTGTGCACTACGCGAAATACGGATGGGTCACGGTTTGTGTTGGAGACGGTCTAAGCGGCGGGTGCTGTTCCCTCCGCGCACGCCGGACAGGAATTCACTCCGCTGGACTGTTGCTGTCAAGCCAACGCTGGAGAATATGCAAATCGCGGTACCTTCTTCTTTTGAAAAGGAAATCGCCGTAGATTGGATGCAGAGGATCCGTCCGCGTTCGTGCTCCACGGTTTTCGCTTTTACTCCGTACACATTGTGAGCAGTGAGCGTGCTCCGTTCCCGGTTGCAGTTACACTGACCGGATGCTTGTGGTTTGTTGTGAAGCAGGTGTCATAGTGGTACGTGGTGCTACCACTACGTCTGTTGACCGTTGACCCTGTTTAAAAGGCGATTTAGGCCTCGTGACATGTTAGGTCAGTCTGATTGAAAATTTCATGAGTTACACATAGGTGTTTTCGATGACAGCATCGTTTCAAGGAAGAGAGGAGTGAGTTTATTTAAATGAAACTCTCTTAGCACGATTACCAACTCTATATAAACCATGAAATTAAATGTCTATGTTTTATTTATTTTTTATTTCATTTTACATGATATGGTAGTTTGAGAAACAACGTCATAAAACTCTTCAATGAAAAATAACCTTAGTGTGCAGTTTCTTTTCCAAGATAAAATCAATTCTATAGCATTTAAAGATCATCGCTTTTAAGTATCATCGCAGAACCTCCTTTTCGTAAAGAGTCAATGTTTTAAATCCCTGGGCTAAACCATTTAGAAATGGCTTCCTCTGAAAGCTATAACGAAAACTATTCCATTTAGAGGTTCTATAAAAAAACATAAAAATATTTAATTTGTCATTGCATAAACATAAAGCTAAGAAAAATTCATACACGCAAATAATCAAATTTATGTCCCGGGCTCTCAAATAACATGTCTTTAGGTCAATTACTTGACAACCATTTAATCAACCAATATACTCGCAGGTTATAGCTACAATCAATATTCATATTCATTCAAGAGTTAAATGCACCGACGGCCCTCGAACTTGTATGTCTGTGCCACATAGGTCCATGAACTTGGAAAATATATTTCTAGGTCCCTAAACTTGTTAAGCGGTGTACCGCAGGCCCAGCCATATGGATATTTTTTTTCTGACGTGGCACGCTAGCATAGTATGTATTTTTCAATTAACCCTTTAGTTATCCTTATTAAAAATAGATCCTTCTTTCTCTCTCACCGTCCCGCTTGCTGGAGCACGCTGTCGAGACCGTGGCCACAAGCTACTCCACGGTCCACACCCCTCGGCCAAGCCTCCCAACACCGCAGTTGCTGCGCTAGCTCCTCCGCTGCCGGCTCGAGCACGGCCGCCGCCGCTGGTCATGTCACCTGCCGTCGGTCGCCGACGCAGGGACCGGGCGGGGCTGGCCGCCACACACGGGCACGGAGGTCACGCGAGGGTGGCCGTGGGCACTCGGTCGCGGAGGACGCGTAGGGCTGCAGCTAGGAGGTTGCGCGGGCTGCCTACCGCGAGCGCGAGCGCGGTCGCAGGGCGCTAGGGCCACTGGCCGCAAGGCGCAGGGCACACCACGTGCAGTCAGTCGGGCACGCGGGCTGTACGACCGGCTTGGCGCACGGACACCGCTGGTGCACGCCTGGCGCGTAGGTAGAGTAGAGCACCGGCCAAGGCGAGGAGATGGAGCGCGTGCTAAACAAGCAAATCGACTTCGTCTCATGGTAAGAACATCGTCGACGGATGAAAAACCATGATATCTTATGGCTTCAGCGATGAATCCCCATAGTAATCAGCGGTGTTGCAGCGAGGGTGGACGAACGATCTGGATGTAGCCATGCTTCCATCGTGGGCGAGACAAGATGCATGGCCTCTGGAGTCTTGCCAGCTAGCTAGCTTCTTGCATGCATTCGAAGGGCGGGAGGTTCTGCTTGGTTGATTCGGTCCCTGAGGACGCTGTAGAGCTCGACTAGGCGGGCATCGAAGCAGAGGCTGCGTGTGGCAGTGGCATCGTGGCTGCAACCGTGGTGACAGCGACCGGTTCACCTGCTCCGCCATCTCGGCGAAGGGGAGCACATCGGAATGTAGTGCGGAACCGTGTGCGCTCACCCTTGTCAGCGACGACCCCCACCGGCACGCCCGCCAGCTCCCGCAGGGACGCGTCAGGGCCTGCACCAGCAGCGTCGAGGTCCATGAGGCGGCCACCAGGCTTGGCGTGGCCCAGGCGGAGGTCCCCCGTCAGGTCGTAGCCGCACCCGAGTACCCGACCGTGGCCACGCCCGCCTCCGCCGTGTGCTGCGCGGTCATGTGCGCACACGAGGAGCCCCGCATCGTCACTGCCCGTTGTCCGCCCCCTGCTCTGCCCTGTGCCTGCGTGGGTTATAACAGACGGAGCCGCAAGGGGAAGGCCGACCCGAGCTCCTCCACGCGTGGCCTCGGGTGCGTGGCCGCCGACGTCGTGGACGCCACGCGAGAGGTGGGGAGCGAGGCCATCAGGCAGGGCCTCCGTCGTCCTTGTGAGTGTGTTCCCCCATGGCCGTCCGGTGCTCGACATTATGCCGCTTCAGCCCTAGCACCGCCACGCACGTCTGACAGATGCAGGGGATCCTCGACGTTCGATCTACAGCTCCACGCAGGTTGCTGCGTGTTCTCTTCCCGCAGCAACCAATCATGCGGGCGAGATGGTTGCAGGGCGATAGGTAGACAGGGGCTTCGGAGGAGGACGCGACGGCGGTGCCGTACGTCGACGTGCCTCGCCCGGGCAGGAAGTGGGAGCGGAAGCCGTACGTGACGCCGATGCAGAACATGGCGACATTGCCTCGACCGAGATGAGGTGGCCCTTCCCCTGCCACTCCAGTCTGGCACCGGCGATGCAGAACACGACAACGGCCTTGGTTGGCGAGGTGGGCACGGCGACCGCGAGCGACATGCGGCAGGAGGCGTTGTATGCCATGGTGAGGTGGGCGACGGCGGGCGCGAGCGATATGCGGTAGGAGGCGCTGTATGCCATCGTGAGGTGGGCGACGGCGATTGCGAGCAACACACGGTCACGGTCTCGGCAGCGCGTTGCTCTAGCAAGCAGGACGGTGAGAGAGAAGGGTCTATTTTTAATAAGGATAACTAATGTGAGAGGTTAATTAAAAAATACATGCCATGCTAGCATGCCACGTCAGCAAAAAAATATCCATGTGGCTGCCATGGGCCTGCGGTGCACCGCTTAACAAGTTTAGGGACCCGAAAATGCAGTTTAGGGACCCGAAAATGCATTTTTCAAGTTCATGAACCTACGTGGCACAGACATACAAGTTCGGGGGCCGCTGGTGCATTTAACTCTTCATTCAACATCCAACAATAAAAAAACTCAATAACAATTCAATAATTCATTGCATTATTTATTATAAGTAAAGAACACAAGGGAGAGACAGAGATTTGAGTACTCTAGAGCAAAGAATGAATATTCGCTTCTCTTAGGATTATATGAGCTATAGTGGTAGGCCTTAAAAAAGCTATAGCGGAGCTAGTGGGCTATTTAAAACCACGTAAAGAGTAACTTGTGTGAATCGACCATACAACAATGTGGATGCAAATTGGTCCAAAAACTTGTAAACTACTCAAATAAATGAAATACTCAGCAAATCGGTGCATAAATGGTCCAAACATTGCTAATGTGGTAAATGTACTCGCCAATTTGACGATAGGATTAATAATGATATAGCAAGCTAAAAGTCCCGTTTGGATTTTGATAATTAACGATAACATTTGTAGACTAATCACTAATGTTTTCATGTAAGATGAAAGGTTAAGTATAGTCCACAATACAAGACTCGAGCTACATGAAGGCCATGAAGATGAGATGGCACGAATCATGATGCAAAACAGAGTGAAGAAAGAAAGCGAGAGCATGAAAACAAGTCAAGGCAAAGGTCCCATCCTTCCGAGTTTCCGGTTTGTTTGAGGTTTTCCATTGCGAGGTGCTGACGTGGGGAACGATAATATTTTTTTAAGCACGTGAGCACATGCTACATAAATTGATAGCATAAAGGAAACAGAAACCTTATTAAAAAAAAAGGAAACGGGATCAGCAAGCTAACAGGCAGGTGGCAGCCAGATGTTTCCGGTTTGTGTGCTTGGTTATCCAGCTGCCAGTCAGACACAGTGAAAATGCACAGGAGAGCTAGTGATTCTATACAAAATTATTGGGTCGACTTGCACATGTTGCCTTCGGAATCTTTTGCGTGCAACCTACCTCTTCATCAATTCTAGACAGATAGCGACCCTCCGTCTACCTCTGCATCTACTCTACTATCATTAAGCCAGCTTGCTTTGGCTGCCAGAAACACCGTCCACGTCACCCCCAAAATCTCCCGACCGTCCGATCTCCCGTCGAGCGGCCCAGATTTCTTGATTAGATATCGCCGGAAGCGGCTTCTCCTGCTTCTGCTCGCCTTCTCCGACCTCTCCTTAGCTTCTCAGCGGCTTCTCCAGCTTCTTGTCTGAATCCAGGTAAATTGTCTGAATCCAGGTAAACAAATATATACTCTGGCTCCTACTTCACACATTCTAGATTCTTCTCCTCTTCCTTTCCTCTCTCCTCTTCACTCCAATCTCCCTCTCTCCCCCGACGCAGGCAAGGCGACGGCGCCCGGCGCCAGCACGCAGTGGCGGAGGCGCCCGCCCTCGCGCTCCTCCCCCCTCGCGTCGTGGCGTGACGGCCGGGCCGGTGCACAAGGTGCTGGCGGGGTGCGACGGCGCCCCCGGGCCGCCGCAACACGTGCCCCGTCTGCGGCCGTCACGCCACGACGCACAAGCGCACAGATGGCATGGTTGCGACCGATGGCCCGCCTCCGTGCACACTTTGGCGCTGCCTCCTCCGCTGGGTCGCGTCTGCCATCTGCTTCCCACGAAACCCTAGCTGGCTGTTCTCTCCCCCACACACACCTTTACTGAGCCCAGCGGCTTCTCCAGAGGCAGGCACTCCCTCAGCCTCGCAGGTACTCGGACCTCCTCTAATTTCAGTTTTGATTTATCTGATTTCCCCTCCAATTTAATTGGTTCAGCCCTCCCCCTGACCTTTACTGAGCCTAGTGACTTCTCCAGAGGCAGATGCTCCCTCAGCCTAGCAGGTACTCAGACCTCCTCTAATTTCAGTTTTGATTTCTCTGATTTCCCCTCCAATTTAATTGGTTCATACTCTAGGGTTTATATGTCCATGCAAGTTTGGTGTGTGTGATATTCAAACCGACACGGGTCCACATCAGATCAGTTTGGTGGCTTTGAGCGCACTGACCCCTCTACTTGAATGAATAGCATGCACAGTTAGTTTGCAGGTACTTGCGTTCTTCTCTTCTTGACGTTCATAAACAGATCACTTAGACATGTTATTCTTAGTCATTACATTACACAGATGAATTGGAATTGAGATTTCTTTGTGCAGGTTAAACTGGATGGTCCTACTGGCGACAAATGAAATAGATAGAGCTAAAAGGCATCAGGGTATTTTTGTGTTTTCTTTCTAATTCTAATTTTAGTTTTGGATTGAAACTTGATTGCTTTTCCCTGTGACAATAACAGAACACCAAACTCTGCGAGGTCAGATATGTCTGCTATTTATTGATTCCAAAATACAAAGTAGAAAACCTTAGAAAACTATGCATGTTGGGCGAAATATGTGGAGGCCAAAGCTAAAGATTTTAGATTGATTATTACATCACCGAAATACAGTAGTCGTTTTACTGATCCAAGCATAGAACACTCTTCATTTTTGAATAGTCTTACCGTATTAAATATAAAAAGAGCTCCAATCTTTAAGTTTTTGTGCATGATGTATCTACATTAGACTCATAATATTGTTTCTGTCTAAATATTAAACATATTTTTTACCTGCGCCTTAACCGAGTGATTTGCCGACACGCGCGATGGCGCGCGTGATGGACTAGTTTCATATCATGTTAGTTTACCATCCAGGACTGCAGAAGCCTTGGACACAGCCCTTGCAACCCTGTAAATCTCATGCTGCAGCGATCGCCATGTCTCAGTTGTGTTGGACTTCTTAGCCTTGTCCATGGCCGAGACGATACCAGGGAAGGCTTTGGTCCCCCAGTCGTCTTGATCCGATGATGCATATATCTGCAAAAGGACAAAAGAAGTGAAATGTTTTGTCACTGTCAGCTTCACTGTTCAAAAGCGCACGTCAAAACGCTATTTCTAGAGCTCTACTGTACTCACCATATGCTTGTACCATGGTCTCCCGGCGAGTCCTTCTCGGTTGGTGAACGCTCGTTCGGCCATCATCAACCGGTCGTTCATCTCCCTGACTTTCAGTGTGTACTGCCTTGTCTTTAGGCTCCAGTTTTCTGCTTGCAGCAACTACATACCAGAAATGAGGCGTTAAAAGTTTTAATTTGCAAGTTACACATCTGGGTGTCAAACACGTCATGTCTTACCTTCTTCTCTTTGTAAATTTTGGTGGCAGCACTCTCGAGCTGCTTGATGGACTTCTGCAAAGGAGAGAAACTGACAGGAAATCCTTTACATTTATCTACGATATCTTTTGTGCACTCCTGCAGTCAACAAGATGACACAACTCTTTCATGTCTCATGATTCATAAACACAAGTATACCAATAAACAAGAAGCGAATTGTGTACATCAAATGTGAATAAGTGGTACCTCCAGCTCGGACGCATAAGAGACGTAATTGAAGGGTATGATCTCGTCGTCAGCAAGTTTCAGTGCAATCAAACCCCAAACGCTGGCCACTGGATAATTATGCAAGGAAAATTGATTTGCATGCACTTGGGATAAACTTGAAAGCTTTCTTTAAAAATAGATGGTTCAGTACCTGCAACATGCCTGTGGAACAAGGGGTCTCCAAACCTCTCCACCCAAACATAATCATCATACAGCGAGTGGTAAACAGGGTATTCTTCAACTGCAAATTGTGTTACATCAAATGCTAGATAAGTAATACTCCTAGTGGCTACTGGTAATGCAAAGCCATGTTTCCAACATGGTCCCACATCCCAATCTTGTGAATTCATTGCGTTCTAAAAAAAATATTGTGAATTCATTTGTCACGACACTGAAGCGATAAAACAGAGGTGTCGATTTTAATGCTTCAAATCAGTTTCACTTACACAGTCCATAAGACATGTCGAGTGACGGGACCCCTATATGCTGGACAAATGCTGCAAAATCTGTTCCAGCACCAGCCACTCTAGTGATCTGGGGGAAAAAATGTTTTCACTTAAGTACCACAGTAGTTCTTATCCACTCACTGTTTTTCATCACTTGTTTGGACCAGATCAGAGCTATAGAACATCTTTAACACTACTGAACATACATACCGGTGGATGATATCGCATCATGGTGTCATACAAGGTTTGAGATGGTTCATCGGGATCTGGTACCTTCGAATAAAGAAATGACGAGAAGGTAAAACGGGAGTCTCCATAAACTGTAATATAGAAACAGGGTAGAGCTTGAATACCATTTTACTTGCTTCTCTGATCAATTCATCAAGTTGAGGGGTTGCACGGGGTCTAAGACCCCCAGGACCAAACACTGATATGTCCACGTTCAGGTAAGCTATAGCTCTCGAAGCTAGAGTGTCCATGTTCTCCTCGGCCCATTCAGTAGATCCTATCTGAGACACTGTTAATCTGAGCATGTGACTTGCAGAGAAGGATATGTAAACCAGTGAGCAAGGAGGTACCAGGGCAAACTCTTCTGCGTCCCAACTACACAGGATTATTGTTCTTCTAGGCCTCCACCCTTTCGCTTGTAGCTTGGACAGCCTCTCCGCGATCTATACAGTGGGAGGAAACTGGATGCCTTCAGAATTTGTTTTTCAAGTAGAGTTTCTTGAAATTGTCGAATATGCCATCAAAATGGCCTCATATAGTCGTATGATTTGCATGCTATATTCAGTAGTAGTAGTTTACCTCAAGCATGGCTGCCGTTCCACTGTTAGGATCAATTGCTCCAAACGTCCAAGCATCACGATGGTTGCCTATGATCACATATCTGCAAATACGTCAAACAACGATGGTTGCCTATGATCACATATCTGCAAATACGTCAAACAATATTTAATTTTTATGGTTTCATGATTCCCATGTGCCACAATGCTGAATTCACTGTTGGCAAATTTGATCAATCTGCGAACCGAGGAACCATGAACTCAGTCGAACAAATGGGCATATGACATGTGCAATTCGGTGCCTTGTGTTGTGTTCTATTTTGCAGGCTGCAGTTAGCCAAAATTATGCAAATCTATACAGTTTAGAGAGACTAGTTACCTGTCAGGCTCCTCTTTTCCTTCTATCACCGCAAACACATTTTCGATGGTTGCTAAAGTCTCGTTTGCCTGCAAATCGTATAAGTCAATAATCAATAAATTCGTCCTTGAATTCAGACAATACTACCCGACAGATAATGATTGCTGGTCACTGAGGCACTCACAATGTAGGTGAGATTCAACACGGCCGGGCCGGGGCCGAGCCGGTACACGGGCGCGCCCTCGCCGCCCTGCCACTTCGGCGGAGCCACGTCGCCGCCCATCGCCTTGAGGATCGTCTCCCCGTCCCTGGCCGACACCGGCAGCGCCGGGATGCCCGGCATCGCCTCGCTGCCGTCCAGCTCCTCCATGCTCAGCCGCTCGCAGTCGTCCCCAGCCGCGCACGACGGCCACAGCGGCGTGGTCGGGTCGCCGTTCCCGTAGTACAGGGTCCCAACCTGCACGCCTGTCGGCGGCAGCCACCGCGCGTCGGGGAACCATTTGCGCTTCTCCCCCTTCGCCGCGCTCCCGCCGAAGTCCTTGGCATCGGTGTACACGATAGAGGCGGCGGCGCCCGCGGCGCGCGCGTTCCGCACCATGTCCTCGCAGTGGATGTCACCGTACCGCACGAGCGCGACCTTGCCCGCGACGTCGACCCCGCGGGAGGCGAGGTAGGCATAATCCTCGTTGTGGCCGTAGTTGGCGTAGACGACCTCGGCGGTGACGGAGCCGGATCCCGAGTAGGCGAAGTACGTCGGGAGGACCTCCGCCGCGGCCTCGGCGTACGGGTCGCCTTCGTAGGTCTCTTGCACCAAGGAGAACGGCCTGGCGGCAAGGCCGGGCGCCGCGGCGAGGGAGAGGGAGCGGTGGACGGGGTAGGAGAGGAGCACCGAGTAAGGGGTGATATGTGCTGGGAAGGAGAGGGAGGAGAACGCATGGAGCACGTAGCGGGCGGCGGCCGCGTTGGCCTCGGTGCCAGCGACGTGGGGGCGGAGGGTGAGCGCGCGGAGGTGGGCGGCCGCGGTGGCGTTGGAGCCGAGGGAGAGGAATAGCGCGTGGTAGTGCGACGAATTGGTCGGCACGAGGAGGTGGTAGGACGCGACAAGAGCTGCCGTGACGGCGAGGAACGAGAGGAACCTGCGCCTCCCGGCTGCGCCGCCACCGTTGGCGGCTGTGGGCGTGGGAGAGTGGAGGAGCGGCTGCCGCTGTTTGCTGCCGCGAGACGCCATGGCGCTCGCGCTCGCGCTCGAGCTCGAGCTCAGGAGTCAAGACTAGGAGGTGGAAAGTGACGACATCAGGAGTCAGGAGGTAGAGTAGAAACTGACTAGAAAAAAAGGGTTTTTTTATCCTCGCCGTTATAATTTTCTGACTTTTAAAATATGACATTACAATTCAACTTATTAGAAACTTGTTCACGCTCTGTTCTGCGTCTGGCGCGTACATAGGCCCACTTGCAGGCTTTCGTGTTTCCGTATCTCCCTGTATTGCCACTAGTCCACACTGCCTCTCTCTACCCATCACTGACGCAAGGGCGGCCCCACATGTCATCCTCTTCTTCCTCCTCTTTTTATCTTCCCTTGCTGAGCAGCCAGGTTCCGCACACGTCGAAATCTAAGTCACGCATTAGACGTAGAACAGGGCATAGATGTGGGAGAAGCAGAATTGAAGTGACAAGTTTTCAATAGCGTGAATTATAATGACGTATTTTAAAAGTTGAAAAATTGTAATAGCGAGGATAAAAAGAACCCTAGGAAAAATGCTCTACAGGTCAGTGCTTCAGTTATCCTTAAAACGGACTTTGTTTCCTCGCAAAAAAAAGGCCTTTGTACTCCTACTTTTGTAGACGATTTTATGTTCATCTGCGTGCAGAAACAGACAGCATAGAGCAGAAAAGATAACTAGATCCAAATTGTAGCGACATCATCACGCGTGCGGGTTTACCACAGGCTTGTTTGTCTCTCGTGCTTAAGAACTTACTTCTTCCGTAAAAAGCTATTATAGGTTTAGTTAAATTGAAATGGTTATAAGTTTGATCAAATTTAATTAAAAAAATGCACTGATATTATTAAGTTAGTATCGCTTAACTTATCGTCTACTTCAACCATCCCAAATTATAAGATGTTTTGACTCTTCTAGATAATCTTTTATTATGTATCTAGTTTTTTTTGAAATTTTTTATTATATATCAAGACATAGTATATACCTACATGCGTAATAAAGTTAGAGTTAAATGCACGGTAGGTACATTGATTTTTGATCGTGTGTCATCTAGGTCTATCAGCTTTCAAACTGTATTTTTTGGTCCATTAACTTTTGGTGGTGTGTCATCCAGGTCTATCAACTTTCAAACTATATTTTTTGGTCCATTAACTTTTGGTGGTGTGTCATCCAGGTCCATCAACTTTTAGATTGTATTTTTAGGTCCCTAAACTTTTTAACTGGTTCACCGTAGGTCCATACCCCTTTGTTTAGCGAATAGATCTGACATGACATAACAAAAAAAACAGCCACCGTGGAGTACAGGACGAGATCATCGTCCGAAGATAATCTTCAATACGAAGAACCTGATGGGATCACCATCTATGGTTTCTCGAGCGATGGCTCAACGGGGAATAAACTCCACAATAAAATCCAGTCTAATCTATCCGGTACAAGACCGAAGGCCACAAGTATAGGCACGCAGGCCACCTGACCCAAACAAAACTCGGACTCCACGAGCCCAACTAGAATCGATTGACCCTGATGTCGGTGCGGGACCCACAGGATACCCCGTAGGGAGGAGAGAAGATCTAGTCTAACTAGGATCCCCCCATGTAATCTTAGTAGCAGTATTATCCTGTAATCCTATTAAGAACTCTCATTGTAAACCGACTATGATTCTGACCTCCTGACTATATAAAGGATGGCAGGGTTCCTAGAGACAAGAGATCACGATTTTCTATAACACAATTAATACAACGCAAGGGCTAACGCCGGCTGGACATAGGGCTATTACTCGATCAACGATCGAGGGCCCGAACTAGGATAAATCGACCGTCTCTTGCGTTCACCATCGAGTTCCGCATACGCTGAAGCCCGAACAATACTGCCCCGGGGACCCCCGTGGCAGGCTATCGGTGGTAAAACATCGACAGCTGACTCGCCAGGTAGGGGATTTCGGCGAATTTGCATCCGAGAGCTCGATGGACCTCAACAACATGATCTTCTCGACGGGATCAACTTTCATCTTCGGCTCATGGATCTGCGAGGCAGACGACAATGGCAAGCTCCAAAGCCGTCTCCTCGAAGATTCGAAACACCATGAAGACTATTCTATTCCGGCGACTACGACGGACCAAATCTCAGGAAGATTCGCGCAACTCATGGAGTCCGATTCAACTCAGGTTTCGCGGCTTTGCGCGATCGGACTCAATTCAAGCTCCGCTTCGAGGCGAGTTTTATCCGAAGTTCTTTCGAAAAACCGAAGTTCTTTTCCGATGGGACTCGTAAGCGCGGCCTCGGCATATCAAGAAAACAACTTGGAGAACACTCATAATCTTTTCAAGAAGTCAGGTCTTTTTCCGTTCGGATTCCACAACATGGCAAAGGCTTATCAGGCACGGCTCGAAGGATCCCTCGATCCGGTGCTTAGAATGCCACTAAAAGGAGCTTAGGAAGGTCTCGATCGACTATAACATCTCAAGATTGCATAAATCCCTTTGGCCGGGCTCGTTCTCGAGGATAGCGATGACCCAATCGGGCGATTACGATGACGACAAACTATTCTACCTTACCAAGAAGGAGACTCGATCCGCGACCTCGAGGTCTCTACTAAAGTTATCAACAACTCCGACAATATGGAAACTAACGCCAATAATGTAAGCAGTTCACGCACGACGGAAGTACTCATGGTTCGCCGTCCTCGGTCACCATTGGTCCCCCAAAAGCGCCCGATGTCGTCGTCATCGATGAATCAGAATCCAACATATCACCCTTTGCCCAGGGCTACTATGGTGAAACCGAGAATCAGAAACAAGCTAGAGAAAGAAAAAACAAGTTGAAGCAAGGACGTCAACACCGTGCTAGGCAGTAGTGAGGAAGCCCTGGATCGAGATATGAGTCGAGTTGGCGAATGACGAAGAAAATCACAACGAGAAGTTGAAGAAAGACGCACGGCAAGTACGCCCTACGATAAGATCCGAGAAGCATTAGAAGAACTCAGAGCAACCACACATCCCGGTGAAAAATATGAACAGCTCCGGGACTTGCTCCGGTCAACAGCCCCGAAGACGCATGAAGAAAGAACCCAATCAAGACTACCCGTCAGATCAACGACCCATAGGCAAGAAGATCAAAATCAAAGGAAGTCCGCTTTCGAGAGACTTGGACCAAGTAGAAGTCATAACAGAGAAAGTAGGAGGGATCATAGTCAAGGCCACCGAGTTGAACAACCAAGAAAGACCAAGAGTAGGGCGCCAGCCCAGACGGCCTCGCAGAATTACTCTCATCAAAACGACAGTTGGCCAGAAGGAGGTGCCGAATCGGAATTCAAAGAAGCCGGAACACACGATAGATTCCCCTGTTTTGCAAATAGACTTGCGTCAATATGACTACCTCATAAGTTTAAATCATCCAACCACTCTAAGTATGATGGCAAAACTGAACCAAGACAGTGGCTCAGGATATATTCACAATCAATTGAACTAGACGGAGGAGATGACGATATCAAGACCCTATTCTTTCCCGTGGCCCTGGAAACCATGCCTCTCCAATGGTTCGACAAATTAAATCCAGGATCAATCAGAAATTGGGAGGACTTGCAAAGAGCTTTTTGTGAAAATTTCGCAGGGATCATTACACACCCGATCACTCATGCAGAATTAAAAGGACTCAAACAGAAAGGAAGTGAGAGTCTCAGAGATTACTATCGATGATTCGGCGAACTACGGGCTCAAGTGCATGACATCACCGAACGAGAAGTAATTGAAGCTTTCTCTCACGGAATCATGGCTAGGTGGCAATTTCAAGACTTCTACAAAGAAAATCCGAGAAACAACGAAGAATTCAGACGAACAGTAGAAAAGATGATTACGGCAGAAGAGAAGACACGAGAGAGGTTCCCGGATAGAAGCAACCGAGACAACACAGACAACCAAAATCATCGAAATAGCAGACATCAGGAAATAAAACGTAGACCAGACAACACCGTGGCAATGGCTGACAAATCAAAGAAGTTTTCCAAACCCAGAAGATATGACGACATCGAAAACATACGTTGCCCATTGCACCCTAATGGGAGGCACACCATCGAAAATTGCTACACCTTCAATGATCGATACACAAGGAAAGATAGTAAGGAAGACACCAAAGAAGACAATCAGAAAAAAGATGAAGACAGTCACGAAGACAAAGGGTTCCAAAAATCCAGGGGGATGGTAGCAGTAATCTTCTCCGGGCTCCAGATTGCAGAAGCAAATATCAAGAAAAATTAGCACTATGGATTATCATGACAGCAGAACCGGCTACTCTAAGATATCTCAATTGGTCATTGTATCCAATCCAATTTTCTAGAGAAGACCAATGGACTAGCGTGGGAAACGTAGGTTATTACCCACTGGTTCTAGATCCAACTATTGCCGGTATGACTGTCACCAAAGTACTAATTGACGGGGGAGCCGGACTCAACATCATCTTCTCAGAAACGCTAAGGAAGATGGGACTATAACTCACCGGGATGATTACACCAACAAGTACACCTTTTTATGGCATAGTACCCAGCAAGGCAGCCATGCCACTTGGACAAATTACTCTACCCGTTACTTTTGGAACCCCTTCGAATTACCGTACAGAGTTCATCAAGTTTGAGGTTACAGACTTCGATTCATCATACCATGCAATCCTCGGATGCCCAACGCTAGCAAAATTCATGGCAATACCACATTATCCGTACCTACTGCTTAAGATGCCAGGACCTAATGGTGTCCTTTCTCTACGAAGTGATTTGAAGCGCGCTTTTGACTGCGACGTTCAGGCAATCCAAATCGCGACCAAAGCACAAGCCGACAGTGGAAGAAAAGAAATAGCCACTATTGCCGCAGAAATAAGCCAAGAAGAACTAGAGATACCGGCTAAAAAGCTGAGCATCCTCGCACCACCAAAAGAAGCTGACATCAAGCAAATCGACCTGGGCATGGGCGATCCCTCTAAGACAGCAACCATCAGCGCCCACCTCTCGGCAAAATAGGAACTC